GAGAAATTGCAAGTGTTATGGTTCCCTGTTTTTCATAGGAGGAAAGTGAGGCTCAGGTTGCCCAGACTTGCCCACATGTCAGAACTAGGACTTACACTTCTCTCACTTAACTACTAAGCTACAGAGAAACTTCAGTTTTAAGAGTCAGAAACTGCTGCCAATTGAAGAGCCATTATAAATCAGGATGAAACAAATGAAATTATAAAGTAAATCCTAAGAAGAATTTGAGTTATTTTTCATATCACTCTTCTTGTAGGAAGCCAGCTTGTATTGACATAAGGGCCTTAGTTGGGAAGACTGATGAGTCCTTGTTTTCAAAGGGCTTTGAAGATAAGACACTCTATTGAAGTCACCAGCTTTATTATTAATGCCTGTTAAATTCATCAGGGTAATGTTGCTTGTAGACTGTTTAAGTAAATTCAAAAGCCCAAGGAGTCACCTCTCTTAAAATCCAGCTTGCTTTAAAGCAAATCTATTGCTATGATTCCATCACAGTATAATTACATTGGAAGCAATTATAACCTGGCCAGAAAAATCATTAATAAGCCAGGCCCAAGTTTAAGGTCATTTTTAAACTCAATTTAATTTATAGAATTTGAAAAGAAAAATGTGTGTGTGGAGGGGGGGTTTCTGCCTCAGCTTATAAAGAAGCAAGATGAGATTGGCTAATTCATTATGCTTTCCACCCAGAGCACTTTTTTGTTTTGTTTTGTTTAGGAAAGATTTTTCTCTCTGTCATGCAGTTCAGGGTAGCAGGCCCCATGCAAGTTTGGAAATAGCTCTAACTTTTCTGTGGGCTTTCACCTGCCATGGAGGTGACTTAAAGAACCAGAGCCATAAACAGGCAGAAAATTCCCACATCTGCCCATTCAGGTGTATTGAATCCTTTTGTAGAACTAAATATTGCAGAGGTTAAAAGGCCAGTCATGGTTTGCTTTGTTTGCTGAATAGATTTTCTTCAACACAAAGATGTAATAAACTAGATTCTCTCAGTCAGGCAAAAATATGAATTAAGTGAAGCTGGTCTTTAGTGCCTGGGGCTTCCCCTTTCCAGTCCCCTTGCCAGCCAGGTTCTAAATATCTTTAAGCTACCCAGGGGCCCCAGTGTAAAGCATCCATACTAGCCTGCTTCCTCCATTCTCCGGCTCTTCCCTAATGACCTTTTTCCCCATTATAGCACCTGTTGGATATCCATTCCCTCAGGACTTGAAGATCATACTACCATAGATTAGGACTGTAGAATGTAGAGCTGGAAAGGACCTTAGGTGCCCTCTAGTTCAACCTCTTCCTTTTACAGATGAGGAAACTGAGCCACAGAGAAGTGAAATGACTTTCCTGTGGTCACACAGATGGTTAAGTGGTAGGGCCAGGGTGCAAACATAAGCTGTCTCCCAATCTAGTGCTCTTTTTTCTCTGCTTCATGAATAGGTAATCTGAAAAATTACTCCCTGCTAAAGTGATGCATATGCTATTAATTATTAGCTAATAATAATAGCTAGCATGTACATACCTCTTTAAGGTCTGTACAACAACCCTGTGAGGTTGATGCTGTTGTTATCCTTATTTTACGGATGAGGAAACTGAGTCACATAGATGTTAAGTGACTTGCCCATAGTTACATAGCTAGTAAATGTCTAAGTTAGGATTCAAACTCAGGACTTTTTGACTCTAAGCCCTGTACTCTATCTACTATGCTATCTAATTTCCTCAATACTAATTACTAAGTGGTATATATTAACTTGCTAAACATCCAGCAGTGCATTTTAGAAGCCCCATGTTATAACTAGCAAGAAGCAACTCATGGTTGTGACCCTCTCAGAATCTCTTTAGAGCTGCTGACATGGACCTTGTGGTGTCCTTTCAAACAAACTGAATTGGGTCCCACTCCAATTTCCGTCAGGCCAGTGCTATCTTAACTATTCCCTCTTGTCAATTAGGTTAGAAATTGCTTTAGAAGCAATAGAACAATACTGTCTCCAGCTGTTCCCTTTTTTGAGGTTCTGTGAATGGTTTGTCTGGAGGTCTAGTGCTTTGTGGGAGTGCCACTGTTGGCCGGACTGTGGGAGGGAGATTTTATTTTTTACCTCCGTCATAAGCCTGAGGACTGGGGCCCCTTCACTCTATTCACAGCAGCCCCAGTTAGGGGAAAGAATTGGGCTGTATCTGTTTATGTTTTGCTAATCCTGACATTATATGTAAGGACCCTGGCTTTGCAACACTCACTTTAATCAGATGCCAAAGTCTGGCAGTCTTTAAATATTTACCCCTCTAACCATGGCCATTTATCTAAAACCAGATAAGTAATCCATTCATCTAATAACCTTAGAATAACTAAAGTGCCACAGAAAAAATGTTACTGTTAGATTTGTTCTTTAAATCGATGAGAGACTAGCATTTTCACAAGCTCCTCAGCCATGCTGGCAGAATTGGGAGGTGTACATAATGGCCATGATTGGGGTATTTTTGATTGACTGAAGGCTCATTAGTATTTCATGGAAATGGAAGATACGCTCCTTTCGTCCCCCAACTGAGCAACCTTTTAGCACCACCATGGCAATAGGCAAGTGTCCTGGTGGTCCAAATAAGTCAGCCTATACCTTTCATTTTCTTTTTTATATTTTGACAAAGATATCCCAGATTAAACCCAATTCAACCAATAGCACCCCCCCCATCAAAGTCCCAGAAAAATATTTGAAAGAGGTGTATCCCAACTCAACTCCAACATTTACTAAGGACATAACCACGGATAAGTCAGGTAATCTCTCTGAGCCTCAGTGTCCTAACCTGTAAAAAATGGATGGTGATCAATACTCACACTACTTATGTCACCAAGTTGTTGTGGGGAAAGTATCTTATAAAACTTAAAATGTTCTATAAGTTTGAGTTGTTGTTAGTCTTATAGAAACCATGCTGGAGAGGCGGCAGGATATGCTGGAATGGTGGGATGGGGTTAAAGACAGGAGAGAAGTCTGACTCCTTTGTAAAGGGAGGATAATTAGGTCAAATTTTTCTTGACTTGTTAACATGGTGTTGCTTGGACACATGGGCTCCTGCTGTTTGCAATGCTGATTCATTGCAATAACAAGGACTTATTAAGTCCTACTCTCTTCAAGGAAGGTATCAAGCTAGGCATAGTAGGAGATGAAAAACTATTTTTCCATTAAAATTTTGTAGCCTATTTTTTTGTGAGCACTGTAATCATGGAAGGAAAGAAGGAAAAATGGTTCCCAGGACTACGAAACTGAAGGCATAGTTCTAATGTAGGTCTTGCCATTGGGTGCTAAAATCTGATCTCTTAGATCCTATTTTTTTCCCCTCCCATGGCAAAACTTGAAGAGTTTCCTCACTCCCACTGTAGTTGTGTATCCTCTGCTGACCTTCCCAAGAAGAAATCACCTTTGAAAATGTGATAGGAAGACCTGAGGGAAAGCCCCTCTTGAAACTGTGACTGATTTTATGGTGCCATGTACCCACGTCTCCTTCACCCAAGGATACAGCTTTCAAAAAGCCTTGCTTAAAGGATGCTTTTTTTTTCTTTTCTTGAAATTAGGAACTGTAGGCAGTCTCCACCTTTGAGGAAAGAAATAACCTTCTTCAGGAGATGTTGCAATGATGGTTGGGTTTCACTGTAACATCTGCAGGTGATTTTGCCACTCTGAGATCAGACTGTCAGTCCCTTGACCGAAAGTTATCAAGCAATTTGGTCAATTCCGTCCCAAGCAGATGTGAACTGAAAGTTTAGAGTAATGGAGATATTTCCAGTGCTCACTCTAGTTTGTCCTTTCTATTTATCATCAGTAAGTTCCTGTGTACTGTGCTGCTGGGCCTCATCGAAACAGAGGTTTCCAGTCAGTATTAACACCCTCACACACAGGGAAAAGATACTCCTGTTGAGGTGATAGCGGAGGGCCCTTCAACCTTTGTTGTTATTTTAATGAGGGCTCTCCCAGGAAGCTGACTCAGAAACAAAGGAAACAATTCTATTGAAAATGCTGGGATTTCTATTTATCTACCTGGAAAAATGAGGATACAGGGTTTTCAGAAAGTTAGTTGCTGTGCTTAGCAAGTATTTTTAAATCTAGATGAAAGGGGCCTGAACAGCTGGGAACAGGGGTGAGATCTCTGAGGGGCTTAGGCCTCATGCCCATTCTCTTCCAGCTTTCCCTTCAGGAATGAATGCCTGCCTTACTTTGCTCTTCATCCTCTCTCCCCTTTTTGCCCCTTCCTCCAGCCTCTCCCTGGTTAGCCTCAAGGTGGGAGATAACGATGTGGAAAGGAAGCCATTTATTCACGTATTGGCCAGGAGGCTAGTAGACTTCGGTTGTGACAAACTCAACCCAGAGGGGAAAAACACATAGGGAAAAAAAAGGAGGCCATGTCTCATTCCCAAATGACAAAAGACATTTCCACATCTTTCTGTAACCCACAGGTCACTGCCACATGAGGCCAACCACTCAGCCCTCATTCTTTGTCTTACCAACTTTTCATTCTCCCAGGTTCATCCAACTTCACTGTTGCCAGGTTTCAGTGGTTGGTTGTCTTGAGACATATGTACCTCGGTACCCAGCAGGGTGACTCCTGTTTGATTTTGGATAACCTTGCTTTGCTGAATAAAATAACCCTTGAGAAAGAAGCAATAAAAGTGCTCTAAGAAAAATGACTCATGCTTCCAAGCTGTCTAAAGTGATCACTTATCCCAACAAATGGTAATTCTTTCAAGACACAGTGGGCATGCACCATCCTTATAAAAGTCTGGGAGAGGAGCCTTGCAAGCATTTTTTGATTTGTGTTAAAATATATCAAAGGCATCTATCTACTAAGCTCCCCAGACAGGGTTGGCTGAAAGCAAAACAAAAACGCAGACCCCCGAGATAGAGCGGCTCTGGTGGATGAGGCCATGTGGACTCCTCTCTGTCTAGTGCCTAGGTCGTCTAGCTGCTTGTGTAGGGATTTGCTTCTGTATCTCTAATCATTTCCTGTTTTCTGCCCCCATTCATCAGAGTGCAAAGATGTGAACAAAGTGGCCTATTGCCCATTGGTGTTGAAGTTCAAGTTCTGCAGTCGTGCATACTTCCGACAGATGTGTTGTAAGACGTGCCAAGGACACTGACCCACAGAGAGCAAGAGAGAGAGTGCGCCTTGTTATTTCACCGTGGAGATGTGTCCATCAAAGAGAGCCACCCAGAGGAAGGAGATGGACGTCCTTGCGAATGCATTACCCTGTGGAAAACGTAACCACTGGTCAGCCCCAGCTGACAGGATTTCAATATTATTTTAACTTCTGTGAAGTGGGATTTATTGATCCAAAGTGCTGGACACAGTATAAGGAGGGAATGCCAGGTGGGAGAGATCCAAACAACACAGAGAGCATCAATCACTTACTGTGGAACTGTTGTGTTCTTTCAAGAAATAGCCCATTTACCTCCTTGGACCATTAAGAGAATTTTTATTATGGACTTAGCAATGACACTGAATCCATTTGTATTTAAAACTGTTTAAAATGTAGCTGTTATGACTTGGTCTACCATGGAAGTAAAGAAGATTCAGAAATCTGAAGTCATAGCTTAAAAATATTTACTGTATTTTATCTCACTACAACAGCACCACAGTTTAAATTATAAAACCAGGCTTTGAAATGTTATTTAAGGAGCAATTATAAATCAGAAGTAAAGAAAATTTGTATTATTTTTCTTCATTCCACCTCATTTCCTTAGGAGTAATTCCCCTTTTCTGAACACTGCTGTGAGCCATTTATAAAATGCTATTAAACAAAGTGACAATGAGGGACAGAGTGGAAGGCAGTGCACCAGGTGCTGCGACTGGGCATGAAATACAAGTCTATACATTCAGTGCTAAAGGTATGTAGCCATCTTGCCACTGGACAAGCGAAGCTGAGATTTCTGTTACTCTTTTAAGGGAAAAGCATTTCAATTCCATAGAGAAGCCAGACTCAAGGTGCGATGGAGACTGAGCTGCCAGGCCCTGGATTGCCACTCTATGGGCAGGATGCCTGGCTTCCTATTTTGGCTTCTCCACCTGACCATTGTTTACATCAGTAGCCACAGAACAGCTCATTGCATTGTTAGCCTCCAATTGGACTTAGAAAGAAGATATGTACAAAAGATAGCCTGGCTATGTCATAATAAGACAGATCTTTCTGTAAACTATGTTGACAGTTCAGTGGGATCCAGATACCCCCTTCTTTGATATGGTAGAAGGGCATTTATTTATAGGAGAGCAAGAGTGTGTGTGTGTGCGTGCATGTGTGCACATGTGCTCATGTGCTCATGCTTTGGGGTGTGTATGGATAGAGCACTGTGTACTTAAAGGTAAACCTGCCGTTTCTGTGAGCGTTAGAAAGGATTGTAACCAAAGAAGAAAAAAATTCATGAGGACTGTCGGTCACTGTAACTTCATTTCATTACTCCTTTGAAGCATGGGTTTCAGTTTGTTTATGGCTACTCTGAATTGTGATTAAATGTGAAACCCTGTTCCTTGGGCAAATCCAATTCTAGAATTCAATGAATCTGAAAACACAAAGGCCAGCTCTTTTTCTTTCCTGTCCCCACTCCCCTGTCCTGCTCTACAAGAAACTCAACAAGGAGATAAAGAAAGAGTATGCTTATTTACCAGAATATTTTGTACATGAACACTTGCATTTGGCAACAGGTACTTAATGAATGTGCTTTTGTATCCCACTCTGCAGACCTTCATTGTTGTAGCAGTGCGATTACATCATGTGAAAGTCAACAATACCTTGTGCTTAAGACTAAAAACCCAAATGGCATTTTTAGGAAGTTGTACTGGCAGTGAAAGAAAATCTTAGAGCTCAACCCAACTCATCCATGTTAACCCAAACAGCATGTCAGATGCGTCCCACACACCCAGTAGGAACTAATGGGAGTGAGTAGGGGCTGGCTCTCTCTCTGTCTCTGTCTCTCTGTCTCTCTGTCTCTCTCTCTCTCTCTCTCTCTCTCTCTCTCTCTCTCTCTCTCTCTCTCTCTCTCTCTCTCTCTCTCTATCTATCTATCTGTATCCATGTATGTGTCTCTCTGTTTCTCTGTCTCTTTCTGTGTGTCTGTGTCTATCTCTCTGTCTGTATCTGTCTTTTTGTCTCTGTTTCTGTCTATCTCTGTGTCTCTCTGTGTCTGTGTCTTCTCTGTCTGTCTCTCTGTGTTACACACACACACACACACACACACACACACACACACACACACACACACACACACACACACACACACACCCTTTTTCCCCTAAAAGGAAAGACAAAAAAATCATACTCTTTTTCTTGGACTCTGAAAACTAACCAAACTCTGAATATTTTAGGCTAATTTGTTTGGGATGCTGTTCAGCACACTATTCTTAAGCATGATCATCCCATCCCATCGCCAGCTTTCTCTTTCTACATCACAGCAAGCTTCCAAGTTTCCCAAATGTGCTTTTTGTACGGGGTTAGGGAGCCCTTGATGGTATGAAAGTGGTTCCTCACCTAGGCTTTTACATACCACAGACCTGGCAACCGAATTTCATCTGTCCTCTTCATGTGGTTACCTTGGTGCTAGTGTGTCCTGGTGAGGTCAAGAAGAGAGAAAGATGGGGCTCTGGTAACTTCCAGGCACAGATGGCTCTCAGGATCAGATTTTTTCCAGGGCATGATTATAAATATTAGCTAATGTTTCTTCATCAAAGGAGTTTTGTTAATATTGCTAACTAGAGGAGAAAGACCCTCCCTTTTTTTTTCTTTACCTCACTTAAGATATTAACTTTGCAAAGGCTGTCCCCATGGGCTCAGCTCGATGCTCCGTCTGGTGCTAGAACACAAGGGTGTCCAATGTTTACTGGTCAACTTCAACAACACTGTGGCTGGAATTTAGAGAACCCCCTAGAATAAAATCGGATTGCATTGTTAAAACAGGGAACAAAACACAGAATGTATCTGGGTTTGTAAACTAAAGGAGGCTTCAGACTAGGACCTGAAACTGAAACCTGACTCAAAAAAAAAAACCAAACCCATTTCTTCTTTCTTTTCCACAGCACAGTAGGTTGCTGCTGCTGCCGCCGCCTTTGTAATTCCCTCGGTAATCCAAGCTAAACGACACAACATCCTAAATAACAATAGGACCTTCCCAAGAAGCTGAGTCTCGGCAGGCAGGCCCTGGTCTAGAAGTAGGAATAGAGTGTTGATGGCGCCCATACTGCTACTGGGCAGTATCAGCCAGTAGGGTTAATACAGTCTAACAGCAACAACAAAAAGGTAAAATGTGTCCTGGAACTTAAACCCCTCCTGATGGGGTTTAACTCCAAAGAGCCCATTTAATTAGCATCTTTATTAATGGAGTGAATGTCACATAGGTATCCTTAACAATACAGAATGAAATTACCTTTGTATCATTGTGATTAGTTGCTTATTATTTTATACTCAGTATTAATGTGGTACACTGTTATTTTTTTTTTTGCTTTTGTAAATTATATTCTAATTTATTGCCATGTTTCCTAACACTTGTCCTACATTCATCCTCCTGCTTGTAATGAAAACAAAAACTTTGTAACACTTGATGGAGTGAAATTCCACACCAGGCACAGATTTTTTTTTAACATAGATAATTTAGTAAAATAAAAATTCCGCTTATAATAATGATCAGATGGTAGTCGTCTGTTCCCTGAGATGCAGATGGTAGGCTGGCGGCTGCCCTACACTATCCATCCTTCCCTTGGGATATTTGACAAGGGTGGCACAGCTCTCCTAGCCAAGTTATCCAGCTGCCATAAGGCTAATTTGTTGCATCTTTGCTCCTCCAGAGATGTTGTGGGCAGATGGGTATTTCAGCCATGTCTGAATGCAAAAGGGCTCTCTGGTGGGGGCAGGATCCAAGCGCCCAGGAGCCAGCTTCTTTGAGGCTAAGGAGGAAGCCCACATCTACCTACCACACTCCCTTCTTTCTCATAACCCCAAATCCCCAGCCCTCTTTAGTGCAAAGCCAACAGTGCAGAGAGGATGTGCTACCTAGTTTGATCAGTCAACAAGTATTTATTAAGTACCTACTATGTGCCAAGGCATTGGAGTTACAGGTACAAAGAATGAAGTAATTCTCATGTGCAAGGAGTTTACTTTCTAATGGGGTTAGAAATAAATACATATATGAAAATGTGCAGAATAAACATGAAAAGAATAAGGACTTACATATATATACATACATGTATACACACACACACACACACACACAAGGTAGCTCAACACAAGTTAGTTTGGGAGTCAGGGAAGGCATAATGGTTGGGAGGGGGATCAAGAAAGGTTCTGTGAAGATGGTGCTAGAGCTATACCCAAAAGGAAGATAGAGACTCTATAAGACCAAGGTAAGAAGGGAATGTCTTCCAGAAATGCAAGATGACCAGTGCACAGGGACAGAGTTGGGAAAACAAAGAAAAGGATTGGACTACAGAGTGTGGGGGCAAGGGAGAGTGAAGGGGGGTGGGAGGAAAATCTGGTAAGACCAGAAAAGCAAGATATGATGCCTCTAAACAGGTCAATTTTGGATGATTTCCCCCTACTCAATTTCTGCTTATGGCATACACACAGAGTTATAACCCAGAAAAGATCCTATCATGGGCAGTGGTGGTCATTGCTTGTAGAGTGTATGTCTCCTGGGAGGCAGAGAAATGCTTCACTGAAGAGCAGTCATCTGTAGGCTGATCTACAGAAATCGCAAACCATTTCTAAGGTTTATGTAATGAGAATTAAACATATACCATTTAAATTCCCTCCATATATGTAAACTTGTTTTACTTGCCTCCCCCCCCAAAAAAGCAAGAAAGCAATCTTTGTTTCTCGCAGACTATTTCTCCTTCTTCATCTACAGTTGTTTCCAAACTTCCAGCTAAGCTCCTTCCTTCCTTTGAAATGTCTGAAGTACACCATCCCTCCTCCTCAGGTTACTGACCCTCAGTGAGTCCCACCCTCCCAGAAGCACAGTTTACCCTGACCCCAAGATCCTGCCACTCCCCAGGGCCTGAGGATCACCCGGCCACTGGACCAGCTTTAATTCTTTCTGCTGCAACTGTCCAGGTGACTCTCTTCAAGTAAATTAGAAAGAATGCTGGGGGTTTTGTTCATCACTGTTTTTTCAGGCTGTAAGGAAAAATGTGGGAAGCAGCACCATTTTGGAAAGAGCCCCACAGAGAAATTGAAAGGAAAATAACAAAGTAAGGGATATGGGACACAGCTCCAGAGGACTAGACTATCTTCGTGAAGAAATAGTGGAAGAGAGAGAATTTTTTTAGTCAGAATCACAAAGCCACAGAATGTGAGAGCTGATGTCCTTGGAGACCGTCTAGGCCTCACCCCTTATCTTACAGATGATGCACTAAATGAAGAAGTGTTAGATAAGCTGTGAATGGAATATTTTGGCTGCATGATAAAAAGAGATGGAATCCAATAATATGAATGTTTTAAGAAGGACATAACCTTCACCTGTGGGCCTACCCAGCCAGCTGTCTCCAGTGATTTTGTCATGGTTAAGAAGGAGTCAGCTTTGATAGTTACATCCAGTGATGTACTGGTAAATGGTGGACAACTGGCTCCTGAAAAATATGTGATAGGTTTTGAGTTTCATCTGCATTACTAACATTTTATCCATCACTTCTTTAAGTCTAGAAAATCAACATAACAATCAAGTCCTGATTTGTAGCGTCTCCTGATTTCCAAGGTGTAAATGCTCATAGTACAAACTTAACAGTTGGCTCCCTGGACCTGGTTCAGGCCTGCTCTCGGGCACTTTTGGAGCCATGGTAGAATGGAAAGATTACAGGTTCTGGAGTCACAGGGCCAGAGTTCAAACTCTACCTCTGATACTTATTACTGCCTGTGTGACCTCAGGCAAGTGACTTCATTTCTCTACCTCTACTTCCTCATTTGTAAAATGAAGGGGTTGGACTGGATGGCCTGTAAGATGATCCTGTGAGGTAATTTGTACTTTAAAAATACTAACCTGATATTTAAACAAAAATTAAAAAGGGTTTTCCTTCATCCTCGGGGGAAGGGGAGGGATGGCGGCATTATACACTAAATTAGACTTATCTCATGGCCACCCCTCCATCCCTCCTGAACCCAACCCCCTCATGGTGCAGATTGAAAAGGGCCCCATGATGTTATTTGAGACTAGAAATTTGACATTATGGTAAGGGGGATTCCCCCCACCTTGGCTCCGTATTTTGGGTGATTTCATGGTTGTACCCAGGTTTCCTTTTGGATAATATATCACATTCAGGCTTCAGCGGGTCACTGAATACTGGTTTCAGGACACTCAAATTGAAATAAGGCCAGCTGACAAGAACAGCAACTTCCAATTACAAGGATACCAAAACATGGCACAGGATTGCTATGAGAATATTAATCATTCTGGCAACATCAATATCTGGTTATTATTGTGTTGAATTTAATACACTTCAAAAACAAAAACAGCCACTGGGATCTGCTGAACAAAAATGCCATTTCTATCTGAAGAGAATGGAGGGAGGGTAAAGGGTTCTCTATACCTGTAGCTGGAAGGTCCCCACAGGGAAGGGTCCCCATGGGAAGCACAGGGCGAGAGAATTTGGAGAAAGAACCTTTATTCCTGTGAAGGAGCCTGCAGCTCAATCTACTTACAAAGCACACCCGAGGGCTTTATAGCCTTGCCCTACACATTTTGGACCCTTCCAGGTGGCTTTCACCAAAATCATTCTAAAATGTTTGTTTTTCTATCCTATCCTTTTGCTGAACTATCTCAATACAGAAGCATCTTCTATGAGCAGAAGAAGAGCAGAATGGTTATGCTGTGAACTTGGAGGTAAGTGTTGGGGGAGAAAGGAGAAATGACCATTTCTGTAAGGTTTCCGTTAGTGAGCTTAGGATTATTGGGGCTTGGAAAATCTCATCCTTGGGTTTCCCACTGGCGAGCACATTTTTTGACCTTTTGTGGTGGGTCCACAGGATAGAACTGAGTATTCT